ACTAAACTGATGAGCGGTAACAGCTTTTAAAGCGTCGCCTAGGGCCAATTTTGGGTATTATCGTTTTTTGAGGTTTCGCGCGCGCACGCAATTTTAAGGCTTGACATGTTTAGTGTCTTTTTACCCGACGTGACCCCATCTTTTATATTTTAACAAAAAATTGGGTAATAATAAATGTTTTATCATTTAATATAGGGGAAACTGGTTTTTTTTTTTAAATTTCGGTAATTTTTCCTTAATATAGTAAAAAAATAAAACCCCCAGTGGTGAATAAATACCACCAAAAGAAAGCTCTATCTGTCCCCAAAAAAGGGTATAAAATTCATTTCAGTACAGCGCTGCATGACGGAATAAATGTCAGTTAAAGTACCGCAGCGCTGAATACTGAAAAATGGCCTGGATGGGAAGGGGGTTTAACACCGCGGATGTCAACTGGTTAATACCACTACAATGTTTTAATAATCAATAACATGACCACAAAATATGCAGATACAACGGGGGCTAAAATCTACAGACATTATAACCATTCCCCCTAATTGCATTGTTCATTGATTTGTGTTTGGCATTCTAATCCACGCTCCTTTGTTCTTTTTAGTCTTTTTTGAAGTTTCATTCTTTCAGATCCTATTTATCTCTTAGAGGACAGACTTGGGATGAAAACAAGTCAATTTACATTAGCAGGCTTATGTTTTTTTCTTCTCTGGTGTAAGGTTATGCAAACGTTTCTAAATACAACAAATATTTAGTTGACTTCCAATGTGTTTGTTATATGTCATGACATGATCTGTTGTGCATCTGGTAGCCCAAGCAGAGCAGAGAAAGATATTAATTTTGATTTGTAAACAAATGGATCTGTCATAAGTTAAGAAAGGGGGACAACCTGAGAAGCAAAGAATAAGTAATGGGCAGAACGCGCAGCCATGAAAAATTGGTATGGTTACATTGCACTGAATATTGGACGTGACATAATGGGACATGGTTAAATATACTGTAAGGCCCCATTCACACTGAGCGTATTGCAAATCGGGCGTTTGTCATTTTGCGCTATATTGAGCGTTTTGCCGCGCGATATCGCGCAAATGTTTGTATTGGGCTGAGTACAAATGCACGACATCCGCGCCAAAAAAGTTCTCCGCAAAAGCGACTCACGACAGCGACGAGCACAGCTCCATTGACATGCATTGGAGAGCGATATCGCACGGCAAATATGCGCCATATCGCATGAAAACGCTCAGTGTGAATGGGGCCTTAAGCTAATGGCAGTAACATTCCACACATACGTTGCAATTCTTGGACCCACAACATATTTCCTAATTACTGTAGAACAAGTGAGAGTTTCAGAGAAACACAAACATTGGATGGTGTATACACTTTCCCTTAGTATACCTTAAAGTAGAACTTCATTACAATAAGGGATGCATCGATGCCGGTTTTTCGGTATCGAGTACGAGTACCGATATTTATATTTCGGTACGAGTACCGATATTTATATTTCGGTACTCACCAATACCGAGTACGGATACCAAGTACCAATACCTTTGACACCTTGTCCATTTTGGCTAATGTTACCTAGTCTACGTTTGCAAGAGTTGTGTAGTTGTCATGTCTGCACCCGAGGTCTTCCCTCCGCTGCAGCTTACATCCTGCCTTTAAAAAAAGGTACCAGGAGATGTACGAGCGATCGGTGCGAGAGCCCAATGGTAAGTAAAAAATGCTGAATGGCAGGAAGCCAGCTTCTCAGCCAATCAGGAAGCCGGGAGGTGGGTCATTAGTTGCCGCCCAGCTTCCTGATTGACCGGGAAGCTGGCTCCATGCTGTTTGGCTGGGAAGCCGGCTACTAGTATCGGTATCCGTAATTACAACAGTCGGAAAATAATTAGCAACCAGCAACAGTTCAGGCAATAAGCACATTGCTCAAAAGTATGTAATATACAGCGGTAACTTTATAAAGGTAACTTTATTATGTAAATCAGAATGCTGTGCATTGTCAGTAGTATGTGTCATAGGGTCTATTACATTGCTGACCAGCAGGAGGAAAAATGGCCAGCGTCGATGGTTAGCGATAGGAAGAAATGTCCGCAGGAGGAAAAATGTCTGGCATTGGTATTCAGCGGAAAGAAAAAATGTCCGACATTGGTGGACAGCAAAAGGAAAAA